CGTTTAATTAAAATTAGGAAAGCACCAATAACTTCTACCCAAGAGTATAGTTTGGTTGGGTATATTTGTTATATTTCGTAGATTATTGTGAAATATATTTATTTATTAACAATTTCGTTCATTATTATTATATTATGTTGAAGCTATTTGAGCCAGTGCACTTAAGCAGTTTTTTCTTTCTTAACTCGAGGTATTTTCAAAACCCCTCTTTACGCCTTGACTGGATTATTGTTTATCACTACATCAGACTAAGCAATAATTGACCTCAGATCTGTATACCTCCCCGAGGAGCCTGTAACCATTCTGAGATTTGATAACGCGGTGTTGGTAAGTCTGTCAGTTTTCGCACATAATTTCAGGGCTCTATCCTATTTTTTGATGGGATCAATCTTGATTCCATATTAATTTATTATTTGATATATTGAATGAATACTTTCTTATAATGTAATTTAACAAAAGGTCACAAAAGGTGTAAATAAAATAAATAAAATATTTATATATAAAATTTTTCCTTTTATTAAATATTAATTAATTGAATATAATTAAATAAAAATATAAAGTTGGAGCATAACATATTTTAAGTTCAACAAATTTTCTCTTTAACTTCTATTAGTTATTGTTATTATTTATAAATATGATTCAATTATTAATCTTCATTTTGTGTTTTTATGTATGTATATAATATAATATTTGTTTACAAATCTGTCCAATTATTGTGAAAATGTTGTAAAAATGCACGCAACATAAAGTGACACTTGCAGTAACGAACTTGCATTGAATGCGGTTTTAATTATGAGCCTTGCAAAGCTCCTAGGCAATTTCACGGTACAAATGCTTCACAAATAAAATGTTGTTAAATAATAATTAAATAAAAAAGATAAAATAAATTTTATAGAAAAATAAACAAACTTATTATAACATTCATCAACAATGCAATGAAACAATGAAAATGGGTTGCACAGATTTGACGGAAAAGCTGCCGAAGAACAAAAACTGCATTGTTCGCAAGCAATTTGACATGAAGTTGCGTTTTCCGCTCTGTAATGCGTTGCGGTGATCTACGTTGCGGTGCTTTACGTTGCGGTGCTATGCGTATATGTGCGTGACTACTTGTCTATTTGTCAGTTTATTTGTCTTTTCAGAATTATGAGTGCTCATCAATTACCCAAGCGAACGAGTCTAAATACTATAGAGATGATAATTTGACTACAGTGGAGCTAAGCATGCAAAAATATGGACATATATAATTTGTAACTACTTTAAGGCTGCTAGGGATTGGGTTCTAGAGAAAGTAAACGCAGTTTTTTGGTATATATTTGAACCAACATTTTTTTATTGAAAATTAATTTTAAATAAGCATTTGTTATTATTATTTACCACCTTTTTGATAGTTACAGAATGCCATCAGTGTAGAACTAGCCAAGTGATTTTCGGTGCCTCTTCGGTCGTCCAATTGTTTACTAAGATAGTTTTGCAGAGATCAGAACAGAAGATAGTCAGATGGTGCAAGATCTGGGCTATATGGCAAATAGATCAAAACTCCCCAATCAGATTTCATCAGTGTCTGTTTTTACCTTTTAAACACATGTTCATTTGATATAATTGGATCAGTGTTACCAGAGGCACATTCCATCGGTTTAGAACTACTACGATTTTTCCAAGGTAAAACTTGGCCAAGTGATTTTCAGTGACGGTCGGTCAATGATTCTTTAAGATGTGTTATTTTGCAGAGATCAGAACAGATGGTAGTCAGATGAAGCAAAATCTGGGTTTTATGTTGGGTAGATTAAAACTCCTCAATCAGATTCCGGCAGTGTCTTTGTTGTTCGTTGGATATAATCCGATCAGTGTTACTAGAGGGGACATTACATCCATTTAGAACTACTATGACTTATTCGGCATAAAACTTAGCTAAGTAATTTCTAGTGGCTCTTCGGCCGTCTAATTGTTTACAAAGATAAGTAGTTTTGCAGTCAGATGGTGCAAGATCTGGGCTATATGGTAAATAGATGAAAACTCTCCAATCAGACTACGTCAATGTCTTTATTGTTACCTTTTGAATACATATTCCTTTTATAAAATCGGTTTAGTATTGCCACTGGGTACCAACATGTTCTAATAATAATAAACTGTGGATATGTTTTATATTACCTTTTAACTAAATATTCGTCAATTGGTAGGACAAAAAATAGTTTCAGAAAATTAGTATAGGTCAGCACAATGATCCAATAAGCTTAATAATAGTATTGTTACAAGGGCCAATAATACATTGTTTCATAGGTTGTCTCAATTTAAATAGAACTTCTTGTAAAAATTACTCTTAACAGTTTTAGAGGCAGACTCAAAAAGCGGTTTAAAAATCTTGACGGAAAACCGTCCATATACTTATTTTAAAAAATTGAAATTTTGATACTGGAATAATTTATTGGGACTAATACAATTACAATTTTTTATAAAGGCACTCGAGCTAAATAATTAGAGATTCTACCAAGTTGGACATCTTTATCAAATAAGTAGAAAAGAGAACTTAGTAAGGTATGTTCCAACTACAATGTTTGAAATTAATTTGACTTCAAATAATTCTCTAAATCTTTGAAGGCAGCTAATTGATCTTTCATTTCTTAAAGTTTGATTTCACAATTTTTATTTTTAATTATTTCACTTTTCTCAGTACTCGTCCGTGCACCTGGTGTTGTTGGGTTTGAGAAAACCAAACCTTAGAAAGTTTGTAAAATGGTGAGTTTAGCACAAATACTATGAGATTAATCAGTAATGTATCTACCTTACCTTACGTCCAACTTAAGCCTGTAACATTGAAAAATATTCTTAAATACTACCAATGCATTACATTGAGTATCATTATGAGTACTTTTATCCACGTGAATAGTGCAATCTCTTACTGTTACTATCGTAACCTTACTTTCTTCCCTTTAAAATAGTTTGCGCCTATTTCTAAAATGTTGTTTTGATTTAAGGTCTAATATTGGTGCTACCAACACCATCAGGGTGGTATTGTTTGGTTATCTTTAGCAAGAAGTAGGAATACCAAAAGAAGTTTAAATTCTTAATTGTTTAATGCAATTTAAAAGATATACTATAGGAGAAATAGAAACCTAGGCATATATATTATAAGTTTATTATGTTATTTTGCTGATCTAAGTTCTCATGTTTTCTCTCTAGACTTTAAATGTTCAATTGAATTATTCTTCCTACTAATTACACAAGCTTTATCAAGATATCGTTTTATGTTTTTGTATGATATAATTGAATATTAAATATTATTCATGCAAATTCAAGTATTTGTCAAGAATGAGAAAAATGAAAAATTAATACGAATTTCGTTGTCTCATAATTCATTCAGGAAGCATACGTGAATGTGGCGCATGGAAGTGCAAGACATGTAAACGTAGATACTTAAGATCATAATAAAATATCTCATATTGAAACGTGTCCAAATAATGGGGTTCCGACAGCATTGATGACGCTCGACAGCGAGCGTCGAAGAAGAAACACGAAATTAAATTAAGTGCATTAAAATGAGGGGCCCATGGGCAGTTCGAGTAAGCAAAATACTATTTTTCTTATTTTTCGTAAAGAATTACAGAATTAATTTGCAACAGGAGCTGCGTTTGCGGTTGAGAAAATTATTATTTTGAGTAGTGTTTTTTTTCATGTCGGTGCGTGTTACAAAACATAATTTAAAAAAGTTGTTTTTCATCTCAAGAAATGTATTTCAAGTAATAATAATAACAGGAAAAAATTTAGTGTAACATGAAAAATCTGCATAAATTACTAAAATGAACTTGAACATTGAATTCAATGTGTTTGTGAAAAGAAATGTGAGTATCAATTTCTTTTCCCACTTACCATATAGAGTTTCTTTCAATGAATCCAAAATTTACTAAAAGCGAGCTTAAAAATTTACTTGATTAAAAATTACTTTTTGGATTTAAAACTTTCCCACTATTACCGCCTATACTACTTGAAAACAGATTTCTGATTAAATGATGTTAAAATTTTAAATAGCAGAAAATTCATATACTCGTATAATAACTTTAGAGAGGATTTGAAAAATATATTTTACTTTTGTTTCGTTTATTTTATAAAACTTTATTGGAATTAATAGTAGTATCTGATGTCAACTTATTCACGATCTTCTCTGTATCTTCGTAAACAACCCGTTTTCGGGTTTCAGCGTGAAGTAACACTCCTCTTCAGACATAGCTCTTTCAGTCTCTTACATCAAGCGCTGCTTGTACTCTATTACTTCACAGGAAAAATGATCCTCTCTACAGCTTCGTAGACAACTACCCATTTTCCGGTTCAAGTATAGCGTCTTCAGTCTCGCACATTAAGGGCGGCTAATACTTCATCACTTCGTCTTCTATGGTCAATGTCAATGTCGTAATGAAACTAGTACAAATCATGGACGTCAATTTAATGAGGTAAGCGTTCACAACTCGGTAAGTACAAAATTTTACGATGAACCTTCTTCCTTAATACTGTTGCTTTAGCGTTCCTATTTTCCACTACAGAAAAGCACTAGTAACCATATCTAAAATATTTTCGTCCTTCTTTGACGGCGGTGTTACGTGACGGGTGCCAAACCCTGTGCACAACCCAAACTTTATATTTGTCTTATTATAATTGGCATCACCATAAAATTTCAAAAATGAACTTAGTAGTTTAAATAAACTTAGAATTCACAATGTTCACTTCAGGTCCAAGTTATGTCCTTACAATTAGGGCTTTAATTTACTTTAATGGAGTACATTATCAGTATTACAGAAGATTGTTACATATATGGTCTTGACTAAGATGCCAAAAGTACACAAGATTCCGTTTAACACAATAGATTTTAATATTAAGTAAATTAAAGTATACAATTAATCACTTCTTTGGAGTTTACACTTATAACTTCATAGTACATATTACAGTTGCCGACATGAATTTTGTGATTATATTCTATGCATATCACATTATTTATAAAAAAATACATATAAAATTGTATGCACGGATTTTATTATAGATTTATTAGCAGACAACTAAATATACTACTTACTACGCTTTGGGATTTAATGATCATTTAAAATTTTGAATATTCGAATTTGTGTTTGTTTAAACCTTTTCCATAACCAGGCCAATGAAGGCAGCAATTTTGGTGCTCAATGAACCAAAATTGTTTGTTTTCCTAAGGGGTCTCAATTGATCAGCTTTAATAAATCATTTCGTAATTGAACCAAAAGATATGTTCGAGAATACATTGCTTTGTACCCTTTCATTGGAATCTTACTAGTAGACCGCAAATATTCACTATAACGTTTTAACTCTGCTTCAAGATATTTGTTGGAGTCCGGTTGCATCTCACCTCGTAACTCTGAAGAAATTGCGGACAGCAGTTCACTTATGTTAGAATTCCATTCATCACTTAAACCATCTTTTTCTTTAGACCCATAACCATGAGGGTCTTTAAGCTTACCATCATTATCGAATATTGATTTGGGTGTATCAATATGTTGAGTCATAAATCCGCATATGTTACTAGAATTGCGCGATGGGGGCTTTGGTAGTGGGCAACATGGTACTTAAAAAATATTTTTCTAAGTAGCAATATAAATTTCATACTTGTTATTTGTCTTACCTGATCCCATTCCACCGCCTTGCGAACCAGCTGGAGCACAATGATCTCGAAGAAAGTCTGTCTCCTCAAGCTTGCCATCTGGTGGTTTAAGCAGGAATGGACCTAGAAGCTTCTTTCCGTTCAGACATGATACAAGATGACTCATGTATATATTGCGCATTCGACGATCGTCCATGTTTTCGCACTCGTAACGGCAAAGTTTTTCCAACCAAAGTCGTGTGACTGTGATGTATGGGGAGCCTCTATCGAAAACACAATCGGGATTTTTGCAAAGATCCAAGTATAACATGAAATCTTGCATTAGCTGATAATCATAGTCCTCCATGGTTACGTTTGTTAAAGGCTAAACAAACCAGAATTTTGCTAGCCAAGATAATTGCTCTACTGTGTAAAAAGTTAAAATATTTATTTCTAAAAAATTGATTTGGATTTAAAGTACATATTCAATCAATTTTTTTCAATGCTTGCTGTGGAACAAAAATATAAATATATATTAATTTTTAAAAATCAGTAAAATTTTGATTTGACGAGATACTTTTGAGATCATTATTAACTTTCGAACATGTAATTTAACTTCAATTATTAACATTCATATTCCCATAGAGGCTAGAACGTGATGGTCCAACTAGGAATGATTTATTTCAATGACTACTGTAGAATGTTTTTATTAAACTTTGAATGAATATTGTAGATATGACACAATTTAGATCTGTATATAGTTAATAAGATTTGGACACCATTATTTATAAATAATAGGTTTTCCAAAATGTTATATACTCAATAAGACTTTGTGATATATACGAATCGAATACGTAAAAAATATTTTGTCTCTTTGAAGAGAATTTTTTATGAATTCAGGGACATTAATTCGACTTATAGATGGACTTGAAATTATATGGCGTTAGTACGAAATAATTGTCGAAAATGAGTTCATATATTCAATGTCCCGTATTTATTCAACTTTTAAAATAAAATTACTAAGTATAGAAGTGGTGTAGGCAGTCTCCCTTCTAACGGGTTTCGGACTATTGCAGTATATTTCAAAAGGGAGTGAGGTCCGTTGGGGTAACTAAAGCTTGACAGAAAGTCGATGATATATTTAACAGAAATATATACTTACTAATTAGACAATCAAGCTGCTTTAAAGTTTAAACTTCACGACTCAACGATATGCATCCAATCGTTAAATCGCTGTATGGAATTTGACCACATTCCACAAAAAGGAAATCCAATTCTCTCATTGAGGTACTCCGTAGCGATATCATTCTTATGGTAGATTTACCTACAGGTCATTGCTGATTAAGTAACCATGCTTATGCACGGTGGCGACTTGTTACTTTAAGGCCAACCCCTTTTCATTATACGGTAGCAAATGGGCCTATAGGTCTAAGATGGATTCCCTTTGGATCGCTCATATAATCTAATCTGAGTAAAGAATTAGTTTTGTACTTAACATATAATTAATCCATTTGTGCTATAACACTCTGTGTGAAGGGTATTTAGGAACCAGTGAAATCTTAACCTTTTTTTGTTTGTTTTTTCAATAAGTCTACTTTTCCTTCTTTACTTTTTTGTTCGATGCAAATTCGGAATTTATTAAAACTATATTTTAGCGAAATGCTTATAGTGTTAATATAACACTGTCGTATATATAATATTTTGCAGTTTCTAATATCAAATTGGTTTTTATGTTATATGTTTTACTGAGGTATTTGTATAAAAATAAATTAAAGTTGTCAACGGGCGTTTATTGTGAGCAAATCGTTGTAGAACTAAATACATTGCTTATATAAAATTTTAAATACAAGAGACAGAGTCTGTTTAAACCTTTTTGTAACCAATAATGGTAGCAATTTTGGCGCTAAATAAACCAAAATGTTTCGATTTTCTTACTGATCCTTGTTTACCATCATCGACAAATCTTTTCTTAATTGCATCAGAAGATAAGTTCTTGATTGTGCTTCAGTATATCCCTTCACTGGAATCTTACTATTAGACCGCATATATTCATCATAACGTTTCAGTTCTGCTTCAAGGTATTTGTTTGAGTCCGGTTGCGTCAATCCTTGTAACTCTGAAGAAATGGCGGACAACAATTCAGTTATGTTAGAACCGCATTTGTCACTTAAAGCATCTTTTCCTTTAGCTCCAAATCCTTTAGTGTCTATAAGTCTTCCAGTGTCGTCGAATAATGAGTTGGGTGTCACAATATGTTGTGTCATAAAACCGCATGTATTGTTACGATTGCGCGGTGGACATCTAGGTTTTGGGCAACATGGTACTGAAAAGATGTTTCACTTAAAAATATAATCACTTTATTATTGTTTTATATATTACCTGCTGCACCTGCTGCATTGCCTTGAACTTCAGGTGGAGCACAATGATCCTTAGTAAAGTCTGTCTCTTCAAGTTTGCCATCTGGTGGCTTAAGCAGGAATGGACCTAAAAGCTTCTTTCCGTTCAGACATGCTACAAGATGACTCATGTATACATTGCGCATTCGACGATCGTCCATGTTTTCGCACTCGTAACGACAAAGTTTTTCTAACCAAAGTCGTGTGACGGTAATATGTGGCGAGCCTCTCTCGAAAACACAATCGGGATTTTTGCAAAGATCCAAGAATAACATAAAATCTTGCATTAGCTGATAGTCATAGTCATCCATGGTTGTATTTTTAAGACTATGTGCGCTGCAGTATAAAAAATTATATATATAATTTATGTATTTATAATAATAAATTCCTCGATTTAGTATATGGATTTAAATATATTTTTCTCACATAGTGAAATATTCTCTGCATATCATTAATATGGCGATTCAACTCTAATGAGTAGAACTCTTTAAATATGTGAATATTATTTGATTCTGCTGTTCAATATATAATACTATACATATATGAAAATGAATATTTCTGAATAGTGAATTAAACAGAAGTATTGGTTAATCTCAACATTTTCGTATCATGTATTTATTGAATAAATGCTATCAACATTAAGCTTAAGCTTTCGCACAGACAATTAACCTAAAACTCTACATAAAAAAATTCTTCTTAAACGTCAAAATTGTATACTTTAGAATAATTTTTTAATGGATTAATGGATTTCGTGCAAAATGCCTATAATTGTAAGCTTTAGGAGAACTAGGAATGCAAATCATCGTGGTAATATGTTTCTTATTCATTCCTTTAAATTTGATTGAAGTGGGCACTACAGTACAGCTATAGATATTTTACAAATTGTGTGAAAAAAGTTAATCAACACTGAACAAAACTAACACAAGCCTCTTCTTTACTATAGATATATGATATTACTTTTCTCATTATTTATTCCCGTTATAAATTTAAAAACAATATTTATCTTATCCCCTGATGCCTATATGCACCTTTGTAAATAAATTCTATAACAGAAATCCCAAAATAAGCTTAATATTCTTTAAGCTCTTACCTTGTATACTGAAAGAAGCCTAGTATTCCTTCCTAACTTAAGCCACCTTCTGGACCAACTTTTTTGACTATTGTTTATCCGAGAAAATTTTGATTAACGTTATTTTTTTTTTTTTCATATAAGTAAGTTTTTAACTAAATATCTTGTCAAATTATTATTTCTGTAGGCTACTCAATTGATTTTTCTTTTTGGAGAGAAAATGTTTTTATTAATTTGAAGCAACTTAATATTTGAACAAGGTGACAAAACTTTCTGTGACTCATCACGTTGGTCAAAACAGTGTCGTTCAGTAATAATTATCAATAATCCATACAAAAAATAATACCTTTTATATTTAGTCCCATCCATCAATGTTTAAAATGATATTAAAAGTACGTAAGACTATGTATAGATATTACTCTCTATATGAGTCTGATATATATGACCGTCATGACCATAAGTAGCATAAAATTGCAGAGAACCATGTATACCTCACTACCCATTTCATTTTTTTACATGGTCCACTATTTATTGAGCTCATAGTACATATATAAGCCGTATTTTATAATTATCGTGAAAAAAGTTTAATATTTTTCAATCTCTTACCTTGTATGCTGAAAGAAGTCCCTTATTCCTTCCCAACTTAAGCCACCTTTTGGACCAACTTTTTTGACTATTGTTTATCCGAGAAAATTTGAATTAATATTAAAATTTTTTTTTTATTTAAATAAGTTTCTACTTAAACATGTCTAATTATTATTTTTATAGGCTACTCGATTTTTTTTTGGGCAAAAATGTTTTGTACTAATTCAAATTAGCCAAAAATTCCCAAATCATATTTTTGTGTATTATTCATATGATTGTTTTATATTTGTCTCATTCTTAGATTCTAAGTAAGTGTGCTGACAATTGTGAAGAGTTCCAAAAACAGTAGTAACAAAGATGGAACAAACAAGAATTAAAAAGAAGATGGTCAGCAAAATTGATCCCATATGGCGAAACGGTCCAATAGAAAAACTGGGGAAGTAAACAATTATCTAACTAAATGACTTTTTGGTCATAATTATTTTGTAAAATATCTTTTTCAATTTGGTACAGCAATTAATTCGAAGTATATACGCAGAGACGCAGACGAAGACGATGCTAGACATAGCATCTTCAGATACAATATATAGAACATCTTTAGTTCAGTTGACTAAAGGGCACTGACTGTGAGCTTCAAATTTGTGCAGGGTATGGGATCAACCCTTGGTACTTGTGGTCTCAAACAATTATTTTCGAATAAATATATATAAGAAATAATTCCAAAACCATTGGTGACGGGCATTTGGTAATACTCGAGACAGCTGTATGGTCAGCCAAAAATTTAATTAATTAAAATAATAAAAAAATTGTTGTAGTTTACTACTTCTTGAAATATATCTATTAAATTGGGGTGTTTTTCTTGTAGTAGGTAGAAAGCATCAGCAGCTATAGTGTGAGACTTTAACCCACTAAAATCACCTTCTAGGAATGAATGGAGCAAATTTCTATTGCAGTGTGGAAACTTCTTTGCAGTAATTAGAGAAGATAGCTGAGATAAGTGATTTAGTACCTAAAAGTCAAGATATATCTAAGCCAGAAAGCATGAGCTACATGCAAATGGAATAGGGTAGATGGAAGGGACGGTCTGTAGAAAAACATATACTAGTATTAAATAATATGTGATTTCTTCTTTGTTCTGACTATGACAAGCCATGTTTTAGAGCCATGTAGTAACACAAACTTTATGCATGCATTCCGAATACGAAATTAAATTTTCGGACTTACATTGCTTATATGTCAGTCCTTCGCGTATAAAACGATTAATAATTTTAGAGAGCGTGCACAGTTAAATAATTTTTGGACATCTGTTATACTACATATATTAATAGAAAAATTTACAATATTTATTTATATTAATTCTTAGACCGTCCTGCATTAATTTAGACGTGGGAGACAATATCATCTTTTCACCTCAGACCTTCATGGCTTCGGCTCGCCCTTCATATAATGCCATTTAATTGAAAATTTTAATTAATTGAATTTTTAAAAATTTCTTATTGTTGAATAAAATATATTTAATTACTTATTTATATTTTTTAATAAATTTAATTGCAAGCATCACGGAAACCTTTTTATTTTGAAAGTGCCGTCAATACTCTTAATCGTAGCGCATAATTAGTATAAAAATCTTGTTTGTACTCAAATTACATTATATCTTATAATTAAAACATGAGTAATATTTTTATTTTGTGTACTAAAATTGTATATTTTAACTAAACAAAACTGAATCATAATTGCAGCTAAGTAGATGTGTAAAAACTGGTAGTAGAGGAAGCCAATATAACACCACCACTGACTTCTGACAGTTATTGCCTTCGAATGCAACATTGGTTGTTCTTGGCTCACTTTCAATGGTTTTTTCGTTGTGTTATTGGGAGCGTTGCAGTCAAAAAACGGTAGGGAAGAAAATTAATGTGTTGTAAAATTTAATTACTTTCGAAATATATTTTAACGTAAAAATGTATTTAATATAACACCGAACATAACAGCACACAACAGAACTGAACAGAACAGAACAGAACGGACCAGACCAGAGTGCATATAAATGCAACAACCGGCAATAACTGCAGGAAAGGAAGTGGTGCTTCTACTAATGGCTGTTGATAAAGCGATTTTGCACACTATTTTTCGCGCTGTCTGGACATCAGATAAGAGCAGTGGGTTGTTAAAAAATATTGTATAATAAATAATATGTTTAAATAATGAAATGCTCTTGATTTGTGTTTCAATTACATGCAAGTAATTAAATATGAATAATGGTAATGACTCATTATAATCATTAATTGAACAAACCCTTGTTATTTGGAAATTTATAATAATTATTTATCTTAATACTTTTGCAGATAATGTTTTTTAAATAAATTTTATGAAATATTATATTTCGATGCTTGTCATAATATTTTTATTAAGTATATTTATAAAAAATGGCTTCCACGACCTTTTGTTAGAAGCTTTTATTAGATTTTTTTCTAGAACCGATGTTAAAAGCCAATAGTTGCGTTCACTAAATTTTTAAAATGCTCAATTTATTTGGAACTTAAAGTTTATAAAGTAGTTGAAATTATTAGAATCACATCTCTATTGAAAAGTAGATTTCTGCGTTGCAGGGGTTAGAATATTTCCGTGATAAGGCATACCCGCAGCTGATCAACTGAGGTTGGACTCTTAGTGGCTGTGGTTAATACTCAAATTTATGCGAGAAGAATATACCAATCATTAAATGTATTTATTATTCATTAGGCGTGGAGTTGCGTATTCATCACCAGGTGCTGAAACCCAAACATCAGCAGAAGTTTTGGTAGTTCTCGTATCATACTTCATGGGGCGTTTATTTGCGCATTATCTTGATACATGTGTTTGTAGAGCACCGTAGTCATAAGCTGTCAAGATAGGTACCGACGTACCGACGCTAAACAACATTGATACTGTGTTGATAAGTAGCCCCTAGGGAAGGGGCTGGAAATTCTCGATGTAAGGCATGATTGTCATAAGAGCAATACTGCTTGGAGAGTACATGTACTGAGTGAGATTTACTTAAGATATCCGAACAAATGTGTAAATTTAGTACCAAGTGTGTTAAAGTACACAGCTTCGGCTGCTCTGACTAATTGAGCTTGACGACAATAATTGGAACATGGTGATTAAAATCCAAAGTTTAGCGACATAATGACTGTATTCATTAGTTTTATTTGATTTATTCGATGTGGAGTTCCATTTTCCTAACTGCTGCTGTGACTCAGAGAACAGCAGAGGTGTTGAATGGGCTTCACATCCCTCCCAAAGAGAAAATTATATCGAATTATATAACTTCAATTAGGACTAGCGGAATTACTTACGACAATTTCATAGGGGACGTTCATTACTGTATTACACTGATATGTGCCATAAGAACACCATAGTGTTAAGCCTTAATGGGAGGGACGATAAAAAGAACTACAGACTCTGTATTAATTCATAAAAGGGCTTAAGTGATTTTGAAAAACAATAGTTTGGGATGTATTCCAAGAAGTAGAGTTAGAAGAGTCAGTAACAGTTAATTTATAATAAATCCCTTCAAATATTTTTATTTGCGTTTCAAAATTTTATTTAAATATTTTTTAAATCCAGTGGTTTTCAACGTGTGCTGCAACCGTAGCTACTCTTTCCCCACCATTGATTTAATTCGTTTAATCTCGAAATTCTTCAGAATTCTACTTCTGCTTAATTTGTTAAGCTGAGCGCATAATTTCAAAGCAGATTTGTCAGTTCTTCTCGATGTGAAGCAATTTATTATCAAAATTCATTTTATTTTTCATATTTTTAGCTGGCAAAATTCTGATTTTATAATGTCAAAATGTGTATATTTCAAAAAGATCAAAGTGCAGCGTCTACCTAAGATTTAGGTATAGTCATATATTTTTTAGGTAGTACAATTTGACAGGTTATAATAAACTTACTGAGAGTCTGCCAGAATTTGGGTTGATGTTATTCCATTTTATTTTGTGAAATTTTATTACTCATTACTCTAGTAGCATTTATTTAAAAGATTCACACTTCAAAGTATTTGTTTATAAGTATCTTTTGAGGTGTAAATTAATTAACACCTTAATATTTCTGCTAATTTAAAATTGCAATGACAACTGCTATAAGAATATGAGAATATTGCTCATCATTTAAATAAGTATAGGTAAAAATCTGTGCTAGTAATTAGTATTTACATTATTATATTAATTATTTTTGAAGGCTGTTTTAATTCGTTGAGTATATTATGAGGAAGATCAGCATATTCAATTACATGTATTAAACCAATTTCGATTACTGAAGAGAACTTATGTGCAAATAATCAATTTGGGTTACAACCAAATCTATAAGGTATAAATTTTATTCTATGGTCTATATATAAACCAATACTATTCCTGTGCTACTACAACAAACTATTATTTGAGTTCAAGTATACTTTCACTCCAACCTAACCAAGAATAGTAAGCAGCACTGAAGGTGGACATGCTATAGATTAGAATTCAGAAGGTTTTCTAGTCATCTCAAAGAGTAAATCGTGTCCTGAA